CCAGCATTGTTATCCACATATACATTGAGAAAACTGAAGGTCAGAAAGGTTAATTATCTGAAGTATAAGTTCAGTCAAAAATTCAAATCTAGGTTAGCTGTTGCAAAATCTAAAGCCCTCTTTATGACTGTTTTTAGACAGTGAATCCACATACCAATTTGTAGGGTATCATTTATATTATGGAACTGTTAAAAATCTTAAGATAACCCATGAGTTAAGGTAAGGATCTAAGTCGGAGGCATCCATGCTATTTGTTCCTCAATGACCACAGCTCCTTTTGAACTATTAGTTTAAGAACTAGAGCCAGGAAAAGAGAAATTGAAGAAAGTGATGTCTATCTCCAAGGGTCTAAAAAGTTCTCATTGAAAAAATAAAGAGGTATCATGTGTGTCCAGAGGAAAACTTGGATTCAATTAAGCAGTTATATATAATGAAGTATAGACCAACCATGTAATAGACTGCTTCATATAATGGAGAAGTGAGTTTCCCATCATCAGAGACATTCAAGTTAAGATCAGGACTAATATCGCAGGAGGAAGGGCCCAGGAGTTGAAAAAGATATTCTATAAAATGGTTACAGTCAACATTGCTAGGTTAGAGAAAGAACCAAATTGTCAAGACAATACTTGGCAAAAATTCTTTTTTTCTTAAGTGAAAAGGTAAGGATGAATGAATGATAAAACTGACTACTACTTAAAAAAAAAACAAAACAAAAAAACAAAAAACAGTAGCATGGAGCAAGATTCAAGATTCCAGCAGACTGTCAATAGAAGCACATTAAGGTAACCCTGTGAAGAAAGCACAGGACTAACACTTCTATTATGTGGTATTAATGTGTGCTGTAAAGGCTGACATTGCTGATTAAAGGAGTTGTTTCTTAATGATCATTTGAAACGCTAAATGATAATATTCCTCTGAGTTGCTGCATTCTAGAATAATTAGAAGAAAACATATGAACCCATTAAAATGTAAGAGAGGAAAGCTCCCTAGGAAAGGCTAGTGTAAAAATGCCCTAGGATATTAGTCAAAACCACAGCCGAGTCTGTGGAGGATGGTCATTGACCTTCTAGATTCCTCTTTAGGAAAGATCCTATACTTAGGTAAAATGCTTTAAAGTAACCGAAAGCTAATGAGCTTAAAGGTGAACTGAAAATCAAAGGAAAATTATTAGAAGGGCAAAGAATACGATTAGGAGTTCTATGATGGCTCCCTGAACAGGTCTTCCGTTGGTAAACTGTAAACTCATAATGGAGAATGTGAAAAGCAAATATTCTGGCCTGCAGTTCCAGTTGTCTGCTACAAAATCTACCATTTCTACTGTCAGTTATCACAGAGAAGTCTGGAGACTCGATTTATGGTACAACAAAGGAAATACTCAAATCTATGTATACATTCACAGCTTTTAATATACTATCTGATTTCATTTTTTTAGAAAGGAAAAAAGAAATTACAGTTCTGGAAAACTGAAAACCAATTTGAGAAAACTTATTATAAACTGAGAAAAAACTTTTACAAAATAACTTCTCAACAAAATGTTCCAGACAATGAGGAAGATGGAGAGATGTTTGATTGTAGATCAACAGTTGTCACACTCATGAATTTAGGAATTTTGAAAGGCTGCCATCTCATTTCCTGCTTGACAGTTTTTTACTTACACAGTATTATCTTCAAAAGTGTAAGCATGTGTCCCACTATTAGACATTTCCGAGAAGAAAGTTGCATGACCATAGAAAGGTCACTTAACCTCTGTGTATAAGTTTATTTATCTATAAAATGAGAAATTCTCAAAAGAATAACTAATGACCTACATATTTTAAATCTTCTAATAGAAGGTGACTTTTGGAAGGGTACTGGAACCAAGGGTGACATTTAGTTTTAGGTTTTCTAAACAACAAGAATAAAGTATATAATCTAAGTATCGAAATATCTTCGAAGTGACCACTTTCTCAAAAAAAGAAAGATATTAGTAGTTGTAGTAAAGACTGTCATGATAACGAATGACTCTAAACCCAATAATACTCCAAGTTGCTAAATTCTCCCAATTTGAGTTCAAACTGGGTCCTCCTATCTCTAAATGAGCAATGGTGGAGGACGAATAACAAATGATGAAGTAAGTGGTTTGCTAGCTGTAGAGATGGCGCAATACAAAATAAAGTTGTCTCTATCACATGTGGACTTTAGAGGTGTTTTTTTTTTCCTGTGTGCAATATCTTAGATACTGTTAATAAGCAGTTTTGTAATAATTCAGATAAAAGAGAATTCGGTGAGGAGAGTCAACAGAAGCAGTATGTTTCAATAGGCCTACACCTAGCCTGAGCTGAAATCTCATTCTCATGATATTTCCTCAATATAAAACCTTGGACAAACTATTCCTCCTCTCTAGATCTCCATTTTCTCAGTTTTAAAATGAGATTAACCAGATGAATACCAAAGTCTCTTACCTTTCTAAAATCCTATAGTTCTAACTATAATGCTTACCAATACCACATTACTTATATAAAACAAACTAGGATATTCCCTTTTACCTTACTTTCAACTTCAGAGCAGTTAAAGTAAAAAAAGTGACTGGTTATCCTTCATCTCCTGGCCCAAGGCTAGATATCCTCAGTTCCCAGAAGAATGAAACCTGACTGGTTATCTTTTACCACAAAACAGTACTCTAGAACTCTGAATAAAGACAATAATAATTAAAGCAAACATTTTTTGAGTGTTATCGATTTATCAGGAACTGTTCTAAGTATTTTATATGTATCAATAAGTTGTTATTCATATAAATATAAGTTTACATAGATATTTATATAAATAACAAGTTGTTATTTAATTCTTACAACAACCGTATGAAGGAGGCATTATTATTATCAGAGGAAAGAGAAGAACAAAGTAACTTGACTAAAGTTATAAGCTAGTAAATGGAATGACCAGGATCCACAGCAAGTCTGGATCCAGCCTCTTACTAATAGACCAGTCACCCCCGCAGTTATGTAGTATGGGTGGGGGTTGGGGTCAGGGAAGAGGCAGAGAGGAAGGGTGGTGTGATCCTGATGATGATGGTTGTTGTAGCTCTTCTTTATTGTCCTATATGAAAAGAAAAGATGGAGCTGGGCACGATAGAAAACCTGATATGGAAAATGGTTTCAACTAAGAGAGGTTGGGAGTGAGTCCATGTTTTCTCTTTCTAAATTGCTGAGGATATGCATGAACAGGGAGATTAGATTGAGATAAAGTCACATCATACCTTATGATTTAAGTGTTCTCAATCATTTAATCCTCATGATAATACTGTAGAATTAGCATGAAAGAGATTATGATGATAATACTATTATAGGAGAAAACATACAAGAAGAGTAAATTCATTCAGTCAGGATCATAACTAATAAGTGATGAAACTAGGACTTAAATCTGTTGATGTCCAAAGGGATGTCCCCTTCACTCTACCACATTGGTTCTATTGGCTCTTTTCAGGTCTGACAGTTTCCCGTGACCCACTAAATAAATCTTTCTCTTTCTGTCTTTCCTTATTGCTCAACCTAGAAATTCACCAATGGGAGGATGCTGGCAGGTCTGGGCTTGCTCAGAATGCCTTACCAGGATTTGTGGTGTGTCTGCCTTTGTCAGACAGAACACTAGCCAATATCACACTGCTGTCCTGCAATCATCAAAAAGTAATCCCCAATACCGACATCCCTATGAGTTCATAATCCTAACTGAGCCCTATAATAGCACAGCATCACACTTCTACTTCCTTGAAAATTGTGAGCAAGACTTATTCTGCTTCTAAAGCAGAATCAAGTTTAAATATGTGTCTCACTAATTTTCTTCTTTGTTAGAGAGCCCCCTGTTGCATAATCTTGTAATTAAAGTATGCATGGCTTTACTAACCAATTCTCTTAGAGCCGGGAAAATGTGTGTAAGACTTAAAAAGAATTATACTGGCAGTATCCATAAAATGCCAACCTCTGATTTTCTTTTCAGAGTATTCAGTCTTAGGGAGCTACTGCATAACTAGGGAACCACTGTATAACTATGTATGTAGAAGAGCAACTTAACGCAGCATTAAGGCTGTACGGTCTAGGGGTTTGCATTTTAACACATAACTGCTCCTTGCTTATTGAGAGAACTGGGCAAACAGTTTAACTATTTTGTTCCTTAGGATCATTTGGAGTATGAAAGTAGCAGACTTTCATTACAAAGACTTAGATATGGAATCATTGAACATAAGAACTGGACTGAAAGGAACTCTAAGAATTATCTAGGCCAATTTCACAGATTATGAAATCGAAGACTGAGAAAGATGTAGCATAACTTAGGTCTCATATTTATTGGGGGGCTTACGCCAAAATACAGCTCAGGCTTCCTGATTTTAAGGTTAGTAGTCTCTCTGGTATAAGATTTAATTTTCCAATTAAAGATTATAGTTCAAGCTTTGTTTTAAAGGAGACTAACAAATAAAAATGAACATGTATAGCATGTTTCCCACTCAGTCGTCACAAACACCCAGTAAGTTATTTATGTATTATTGTTATTATTATTATCTGTCTGATTTACACATGCATAAACAGAAGCTCAGACTGCTCAGGGAGTGGACTAAGGTCACATTCCTGATAAATGATGGCATGTGTACTCTCTCTCTGATCTCCTTAATCTGAAATCCTAAATTTCCTTCTTTAGACCTTTCCTCACCCTATCCCCTTTAAATTTACCTGTTTAGGTAAGATCAAAGGATTTATAAAATCTTTCTTAAAGAATATTAATGTTGTTCTCAAAATATCCCCAACTAGCGTACAAAGTAGTCATTCTTCGGTTGTGCCTCACTGCCCACTCCCCCACATCCTCTTCATTCAACATTATTCTCAAATAAAACAGGAATCTTTAGAACCTTAGGATTTTGCTCTTACTGGTTTATTATGTAGGATAAAGGAATCGTACTTCTCTTTGTAACTATGGAAGTGTCATCAAGATACAGAATTTTTTGTGATGCTAATGAGAATTTTCTTCACCAGGTAGTGCTGCTTGCAAAACATCTGGTGCAGCATGCCAAGAAAACATGGGAGCTGAAAGGCGAGACACTAATCTTGCCTCAGGATCTTCTCCAGGTAATTTCACAGCAGGTGCCGCTTTTAATATGTGGATTAGATGCTGCAGCATCTTATAGTCGCATTAATAATTTCTTTAATTAGTTCACCCCTTATGCTTCTTTAGTTTCGAAGATTAAATTAAATGCAAAACTTGCAACTCATTGCTGGAGTATTCATTAGCTTGTAAGTCATCTTTTAAAGCAACAACCGCTTAGGGAAAATTCAGTGAAGAAATGAATTTGCCTGTTTTGAACATGTTATTTGAATCACATGCCAGGGAAGGAGAGTCCATAAATGGACATGTTTGTTCTCTGTTGCAACTCACCTCCAATATATATATGTAAAATTTTGTGTATATGTATATAATTTCACATTATATACATATAAATATAATTTTTAATGCTAAGATAGGAGACTGAAGGGATTAAATGTGATCTATTGCCAAAATACTTTTCTACCAAAGTATTTCTTTTCCTTTCCTTCTACATCTATCTATACCTCTATTTTTATCTATCCATACATTTTATCTATCCCCCTACGCCTCAGTCATCGGGGACTTACTACATGTCAAATAGCCTGGCACATGCGGGAAATAAAGAAAATAAAACATGGTTTATCCTCTCAAAGAACTACTGGATAAACGTGATATTTTATGTGATAACTTTCAGAATGAAACACACGGCTAATGCAAGGTTGGCTCAGGGCTGAGATGCAGGAGAGATCACCACTCTTCTCAAATGGAAGAGACCTTGCAAAGTTTATCAGGGAGTGATGTGAGAACTGCCCACTCAAGAATAAGCAGGATATGGTCTTACAGGAAAGGGGTTAAGAAAGGCCTTCTAAACAGAGAAAAGAGAAGAAAGGCACAGAGTTGTCCAACATCAGGAAGGATGTTGGACACATCTCTAGAGACTGGAATGTATTGCTATGGAATTTGTGCCTCATCTAGAAGGCAACAGAGAGCTATTGAAAGATTTTAAAAATGACCGAGATATAATTTAATCAATAAAGTTCTGTAGTGTTGCATCTTTTAATAAAAGTGACTGGAATATAGAGCTAGTGGTAATCAGATTCATTACATTGTAATTAAATTATATTAAACTGAAATTTAACACATTAAAATTACATGGGTTTGGAAGTATCTTAACTACAACTTTCTTAAATGAATATAAATAGCATAAATAGCACATGAGACAAAGCTCTAAAAGACCAAATTCTAAGGTGTTACACTTAACTCTCACTGACTTTTATAATTCTCTACAAATGTTATTGAAAAGACCTACATGGCCACATTTGTTTGTTTTTATAAGTAGAAAAACAGGTATAGATATCCATAAGCTTTCCCAAGGTCATATATGGAAAACACAGTAGTGTAAGACTTGGTTTTAGTCCTGCTTCTACTATTAACTTCAATTAACTTGCTCTAAGACCCTGGATGTTTCTTTCCCTTTCTGGGCCCCAGTCCCCTCATCTATAAAAGAAGGGGTATATTGGGACCCTTCATAGTCTGCATGAGCTCTGGTGGTCTATGATTCCAATGAGGTAGCTGGGATGAGGACCTCAGACATCACCCCACCAATCTCCTCACTTAGCACAGCAGGAGGCTGGGTATGCTTTGTTGAGTAATGAACCCCATAATATCTTGAGGGAAAAATAATACATCCTCTTCTTTGCTCATCTAAAAATGAACAAATTAAGATATAAAGTAAAAGATGAGACAGGAAGCTACATAGATGCTATGGTCTGAATGTTTGTCCCCAATCCCCCACCTGCCAATTCATATGTTGAAATCTAATGCCCAGCGTGATGGTATTTGAAGGTGAGACTTTAGGGAGGTGATTATAAAAGATACCTCAGAAAGTGTCCTAGCCCTTCCTTCTCCTATGCCTTCTAGAAGGCCATCTATGAACCAGAAAGTGGACTCTCACCAGACACCAAATGTGTTGGCACCTTGAACTTGAATTTCCTAGCTTCTAGAACTGTGAGAAATAAATTTGTTGTTTATAAGATACCCAGTTATAAGTTATGGTATTTTTGTTATAGCAGGCTAAGAAAATATATTAGGTTTTAAATTTAGAAATTTGTGTGGTCATTCAAACAGATGTGTCATTTTACCCCAGGGATGACTTTATTTCAGGGGATGGAAATCCACTATGTATAGTAATATTCCTTGTACAGTTCCTAAATTATTTCAGAATTGTAGGAAACACAATGTGTAATACAAAATAAAGATGGTAACACCCCAGTAACTATATTAAGAGCTGGAGAGACAGTGCACACACTTACTTTTATCTTTAGCTATGTTTGAAAGAGAGACACTTACATAAGTAGCAGCAAAATACAAAAGAACTAAATGTCTCAAGAATAGAAAGGTGTTTGACTTGTAATCAGAATTCTGATTTTAAATCTAATTCCTTAACTAAATAGCTATAGAACCTTAGGTAATTTACTAATTTATTGTTCTTTAATTTGGTAGTCACTTTAAATGAGGAAAAAAATACTATATGCTTATTTTGAAGGATAAGTGAGAAAATACATTAATTACTTGGCATACTCCATACCACATAGCATGTGCTAAGTAAATGGTAATTATTTTTATTATGGTGTGATCATCTGGAACTTTTCAAAAACATTTGTAGAGAGCTATAGAGTAGGCGAATAAGTGTAGCATTTTTGTTTAACGTTATGTGGTAGTGTCTAACATTGTCTAGACTCAAAAAACCAAAATACAAATAATATTTTAAATCAGCATGAGAATTTTAATCTGTTATTTGTGTTATCTTGATGGAAAAAGAAACATATTCTGATGTTAATTATAATCAATATGGTGGCTATTTCCTTCATTTGGGAAAAATAATATGAAAAACTATATATAATGGTTCTCACGTATTTTCATTTCATTCCCAATGGTATGTGTTTGTAAAAGAGGTGTAAGCACTACTCTGAGAAAAAAAATTTTAAGAGGAGATACTGAGTAGCTCTTAAACCGCCCTGGCTGGAACAATCCTAACAGAGCATCAGTATAATTAAGACTCAGCAGCAGAGAGCAGAATCGTTCTATGTCATTTCCAAGAAGTAGAGAGGCAGTCCATTTACTGCAGCCACCTGCAGAGTAGCTGGTATAGGGAACATGTCCTCTACATGTGCCTGATGGCATCTGAAAAAAAAAATCCCTATTAATTTTGTATTAGTTTATACCAGAGTGCAAAAACAGGACACTCAGGTAACCTGCCACAGAAAACATCTTAGAACCTCAACTGTACTTTTCCAACCAAACACAAAAGGAAGCTAATATTGTACAAAGTTGGGTCAGGTGGAAAACGCATTCCTTATTCAACCCCTTCAAGATCCTTCCCAACTGCAACCTCTCTTGTGAATTCCTAACAGGACTCCCCCTACCCTACACACATACACACACACACACACACACACACACACACTTCTGAATGCTGAATGCTGAGAGTACTTTCTGGCTTTCTTATAGCAAAGACAGCTCCCTGACTTGCACTATATTAATATGTCGTCTTAGTCATGTCTTATCTCTTCTACTAGACTATGATTTCCTAGAAGGCAAAGAATCTAATTTCCTCATTTAAGAGCAGGTATTCTAATCAAATATGTGTTGGAAGGAAGGAAGCAGAGAGGAAAGAGGGAAGGGGAAATAAAAGTTCATATGTGTGAAAATAATAGGAACAAATTATCATGACTTAAAACAACCATTCTGATAATGATGTTGATTTTTATACTTCTGAGTTGCCAAACAAATAATTCAGAGAGAGTTCCCTTTTAAAATTAAAATATATATATATTCATTGTATTAGGAATAAAAAAGTGGAAAAACACTACTTGGGATGATACCAACATAGAAAAGACCAAAAACTTGTCCGTGACTCTCCTCTTTTGTTCTCATAATTAAGTAGTGCTTTCAGAATATGATGAAAGGAACTCCAAATCTGGGCATAATCCCACAAGTCCCCAGCCTATGGAATGTCTGAGTCTGAAATAGTAAAATGTGAGAGAAGAAAATGTTAGCTAATATTTGTATATTTTACAGAGTCACAAGAAGAATAAGAGATTTCAGGAATCAATTATTCCAGCACCTTAACTTTAGATAAAGAATCTGCAGCTGTTCCGTAAATACTTCATATACCTTGATACCTTCATGATTCTCTCAGGTGATAATCCTTCTGCCACGAATTACCTCTCTTATGTTTGCCCCAATTCAGATGTCACCTCCTCCTGATACCTTCACTGGTTCTCTCAGCTAGTTTATTAATCCTCCTTCGAGCCCACTGGATCACTCTTACACACTTTTATTTCTACACTGATAAATGCCGGTTTTCCCAACTAGACTGAGTTCCTTTTCAGTAGGAACTATGTTTACCTTATCCACCTGCAAACACTTAGCATAACATCTAAAAACAAAAACAAAAACAAAAAAACAAAAAAAACTTCACAAATTGATATTGATATTGAATTGAAATATCCAAGTTAACCGAAAGAGAAGGGAGAAGCTGGCATGGGCTCACCTCTTCATGAAGTCTAAGAAACTTGACTCTTATCTACAACAGCCCCCACGGACTAATCACCTAACATCATAAAACACAATAACACCTTCAAAACAGGCTTGAGAGGGATAACTTAAAAGAGACTAAATTGTTATGGAGGTGGGGGAAGGAGCTGATCCTCTACAGTACAGTATCTTGGAAAAAGAAATAGATTGAAAGGAACAATGCTTTCTTCTCTTAACTCTCTTTTCTTCATCTCCTTTTGCTTCCTTCTTGTGCTCCTTCTCCTTCTCCTTTAGATAAAGATGAGTATTAATAGCTGGATCTTTAAAAGTTATGAAATCTCTCCATTTTTTACATCTATTACTTCTCTAGAACCATGTGCCTGCACTTTTCCCCAAAGCCCAGGTGTACTTCAATTAGAGATATCACAAAAATAAGAAAAAAGAAAAGCTGGTCCATGTTGATTTGTGCTGGTTTGAAATATAATCTATGTTACTATCACTGAGGGTTGGACTACACTTTGTTGTTTGTGGATCTTGACAAATGAGTTAAGATTGATAAGAATATTTATGCATTTAAGAGGATATCAGTTAATGTCATTCTGAAAAAATACTGTTGGTGTGTTATGTCAGAAAATACTATCAAGAAAATGAAATGAGGTGAAAGGCACTTAGGATATTCTCTGCAACAAGTAAACAATAAAACAAATATACCTAGCTAGAGATATTCCAGATGCCTCCTTCAAAGTCACACATAGTGGGATTTCAATAGCAACAAAATTATTCTCTCTGCTGCCACTATGCCATTTTCATTAAATAGTACTAACACTTTTAAGATAAGCTCTTTTTTAGAGGAATTAAAATTACTTTAAGAATTGGGCTTTCTTTTGCACACTTATATTCATGGCAGCATTACTAACAATAGCCAAAAGGTAAAAACAAACCAAATGTCTATCAATGGACAAATGGATGAACAAAATGCTGTACACCTACAATTAAACATTTTTCAGCCTTAAAAGGGAAGGAAATTCTGTCACACAGTACAACACAAGTGAACTTTAAGGATATTATACCAAGTGAAATGAGCTAGTCATTAAAAATAAAACAAAAAAACTATGATTCTTCTCATACGAAGCACCTAGAGTAATCAAATTCATAGAAACAGAAAAGTAGAGTGGTGCTTTCCAGGGGCAAGGGGGAAGGGGAAATGGGGAGTTGTTCAGTGGGTTTAGAGTTTCAGTTTTGCAACTGAAAAAAGTTCTGGAGATCCGATGCATAGCAATGTGAAAACAGCACAACTGAATTGAATGCTTAAAAACTGTAAAGACGGTAAGTTTGTTACGTGTTTTTTTACCACAACTAAAATTTAAAAAAATTGTATATTCCTTGAAAAAAAAAAAAAAGCCTGAAACAACGTTAACTCCAACACTGCCATTTAGTTTTTGATTGCCACTCTCTACATTGTAACTGTACAAATATCTCTCGTACACACAAGTAACGTACTAGTTGACTAGAAAGTATTCTATTTATTTAGCCCCATTATGTGTAAGGTAACATATCTGGCTTTGAATGAAAGGGGAAAAGAAGGAAAGTGTTTCGCCAACTTCTATTTTTTAATAGAAAACGTATGAGGAAGGCAGTGTTGGATGAGTCTCAGTGAGTCCAGATAATGAAAGACAAGATTTATATCGATGCCAAATCAAGAAACCTGCTACTATACTATAGCCAGTATATCAGTGTACATATTTGTCTGAGTATCCAAATTTCTGAAAGCTTGAGTTTTTCATACAGATGGGTCTATGCACATTATCAACAATTTCTAAATTCCACTGAATGCTTCTCTATTTCAGGAGATACCTGATGTTGCCTGTCAGCCCTAAGCTACAATGGAGTCAAACCCCTTTCCTCAAGCACCAAACATCATTTTGAAGAAAACTTGTAAGCCAGAGAAATGAAGGAATAGACAATGACATGCATTATCTTGAGGACTCCAACACAAATGGGGGCTGAATGGGGAAATTGCGTGGATCTCTCTAACAAAGGCAAATACTGCCTTTACCACCCACAATGAAACTCAGAGACAAGCTTTCTACTTACAGAGAAATCAAGAGTCTGGATAGAGAAACCTTGGCAGCACCTATAAGCAGTGAGTAGTAGGGGAAACTTTTCAATATAAGGTTTGTATCAGGTTGATTTTCTTAAAAGTCAAAAGAGAAAGGAGCTGATTACATCTTAGCTAAAGGGGAGAAGCAAAATAGCTTGGTTCCCTGATGGTAAAGCTCCATTAAAAAGAAAAAGTATGAAGGACAATTTTAAAAGTGTATACCACTTTATTCCTATATTTCTATTGTGACTATGTCTGGAAAACAAATGAAAAAGAAGACACTGTATATACACCATTCTACCTCCTATAGTCAAAAATGACAGGGGAAAGTGACAAATCAGTTCAAAATACAAAACCTGCTGAAAGGAAAACAAATCTGCTAGAATCACAGAACCCGGGGTTGGGAAGCCACACTGTCCAACTCCTCAGCAAATAAAAAGCATTCCTTGAAAATCCTCACTGATGGACCATCACAACCAGCCTAAGACCTCTCCATCTTTGGTCAGCTATGGCTTATAAATATGTCCTTGTAATACTGAGAAAGTGGATCTCCCTTAGCCCTAGTTCCACCATTTGGGTGACTCAGAATTATTCTAGCACCTCTTTCACAGGGCTGCCTTTCAGATTTTTGCAGAGAGCAATGTTATCCTTTCTGTTTCTTCTTGTCTCTGTTAACCAAAATTTCTTAGTTCCTTCAGCAGTTCCTCAGAGAATCAATCTGGCCTCTCCCAACTGAATGCACTCTGGTTTTAAATACCTTTCTTAATTTTAACATCTCTATCACCTCTAAATAGGTTAGGCCTGAGTCCCAGTTAATTTCAACTCATTAAAAAATGACTTTAAAATTTTTTGACTTCATATAGGCTGTAAATTAGTTGCATACATGTATTTTATATATTATCATTATAAAATATAACTTCGATTAATCTTTTTATTATCTAGAAATGTTGGTGAGGCATTAAATTCAATACGTCAAACCAGCCTAACTCGTCCCATCAGCTATCAAGTAACAGCATTAACCTGCACCTGCGCATTGAAAATGAACACGGAGCACACGTCTCTTTCACATACCCCAAGCAGAACACACACACATGCCCACAGACATACCCTGCTCAATGTTATCCCCACAATGTCTCTTCATTGCCTCCTTTCTGTTGCTACTGCTACCCCCTCATTCAGGATTCCATCAATACTCACCTGGGCAGTGTCGGTAAATCAGGTCTGCCCGACTGTGGCCTCTATCCTTAGTTCCCATTTTTCAGAGGACTTACTTCAACAACCAACTTTCAATGTTTACTGACACACCAACTCTGCTCTAGGCCCTGCTCTAAGTGCAAACAGAGATATGAAAATGAATGCGAACCTTTGCCTTCAAGTAGTTGCAAGTCTAATGGAGATAAAAGAACTTAATAAATAATTGTAGTACAAGGCAGAACAAATACAATCTTGTTCAAAGTGCTATGAGAATCTTGATTCAAATGGAGAAAGGGAGAACAGTAAATCCAGACCTTAAAGAATAAGACACATTCTAAAAAACACAATTTAAAACGAGCTCTACACAGCTCATGTTTTCTAAAGGCAAGATCAGAATTAGCTAGGTGTAATTAGGCATGAATGGTAGGTAAGAGGTAAGATGGGTTTGATCATTTTAGAAGATAATTTCGAATATGTCAGAGATGCTGCGAAAAGGTACTGAAATAAATATCTTATTAAAAGTATAAGTTAGTCTACAGCCATGCCACTCTGAACAAGCCTGATCCCATCTGATCTCGGAAGCTAAGCAGGGTCAGGCCTGGTTAATACTTGGATAGGAGACCACCTAGGAAAACCAGGTGCCGTAGGTGTAAAAAAAACAAAAAATAAGGGATTTTAAGCTGACAAGGTCCTTGCAATCTGTGAGGTCAACCAAGGATTGCCTCACCTAAAAAATGAAAATAAAAAAATAAAAAATAAATAAAAGTATAAGTTAAAAAGTTTGCTATATATGCAATGAAACATGGAGCAATCTTTAAAAACCACATGATCAAATCAAATAAAGAAATAAAATATAGTTAAGAGAAAACGTAGAATGCAAAACTTTCCATATGATCTCAATTTTATTTTATATTGCATATTGCACATACATATCTACTTTTGAGCATTTGTATTTGAATTTACATATAGGAAATATATGTGTTTTATGTATGTGTATGTAGGAAATACAAACATAAATATATAAAGAATAAATGTACAAACAGCATATATCACAGTCCTTATCTCTATTTGGTAAATTTATGAAATATTTAGATGTGCTTTATATTTTCCTAATGAAAACATTTCAAAATTATAACCAGAAACTCCTTTCCAAAAAACGTTATTTTTAATGAAGAAATAAGATTTTAATGAACAGATAATAGTGTGGAAGTGGAGAATGGGTTACTACCAAAAAAACTTATGAACAAATGAGCATGGAAGTGACTGGTTTGTGAGAGGGATGCCATGTGGTCCATATCAGTGGAAATACTGAGTAAATTACTCAATATTAATTGTTTGAATTTCAGTTAAAATACTTATCTCTTTTGTGCATTTTTTCATGGCATTTTAAGAATGTCCATTCTAATCAAAATATGACAAGCAATAGTATTAATGAATAGAGGGTCAAGATTCCCATCTTTATGAGGTATCAGAAAGTGAAGACATATTGTTAGAGGTAAAAAATATCAGCAAAAAAGTTTAATTCTTAGGAATCCACAGTAGGATGCTGCAAAGATCAATGTCACCACCAGAAAATACATTTTCATTATTACAATGGATTCTTGTTGGACCACCTTAACTCTATCTCTTATATTTTATTGACTCATTTATTCAACACATATTTTCTGACCACCTCGAGACAAGCAGCACATTAGGCACCAAGAATAAAGCTGTGAACAAAAGTGAGCAGCCCTGTCCTTGTGGCATTTACATTCTTTTTACAAGACTTCCTTCTCTATTAGGCAATATTCCTAAAATCCTGTTTTTGTCACACCACTTTTGCACTCAAAAAAATATAATTTCCTTCTGGATAACATCCAGCTTTCCACAATCAGAACAATGAGATGTAAAAAGGGCAAAGAACCAGAAGAGTAAAGAACCCTTCTTCATGTGGCAAGTTACCATCACCCTAATTATCATGTGTTGCCTTACCTGTTAACAGGGAACAAGAACATGTCTCCTGCTATCCTGCTAAGGTTGTTATGAGATGATGGATGAAGAGCTTTAACCTATAAAGCTCTGAATCATCTTTTGTCCACAATCCTTTGTTCAGTCCCATTATCTTTTCCTCCTTGCCAGACAGCATCCTCCCGCTAATGCATAACCTTGCTTATGTTAGTCCCCGCTCCCTGGACAGCCTCTCCTTCCTTTCTGCCCATTCAGATCACACTACTCACTTTTTCCAAAACCCACTACCTCCAAGAAGTCTTTCCTAATACCTCCAGGGAGGAAAAAAACACGTGTGTGTGTGTGTGTGTGTGTGTGTGTGTGTGTGTGTAGACAGACAGAGATAGAGATATACCTGTATATATAAATGTTCACATTACAATAATATACATATAATGAAATATACCTAAAATCTCTAATAGTGTGCTTTAACTCTCCCTGCTTAAACAAAAGAAAATGATGCCAATTCTGGGTCTTATTTGTTTGCTTGTTTCTTTTATTTTGCTCATACATTAATACATTCACTAACTTGCATGGATATAGGTTCTATCATCATTTGTGTTATTCAAAAGGAAAGACATTTTGTTTGTTTCTTTTAGTAGACAAGATATTTAGAAGTAAATGATTTTAAAATCTACTTTGAAAAATAACATGAGCGTGGAAATTTAAAAACTTCTTGGAAATGTTGAGGGGGAGGTCCCAAATCGAAAGTCACTTAAGTGATTATCACCATAATTACTGCAAGGCGCCTGATGAATTTTAAGTTATTAAATGAATCATGGATGCATATGAAACACAGGTTTGCAGTACAGTGAAAATGACTCAATATCCAGAGATATTTCCCTTGATATTGCTAAATTAAATGGCAAGCATTTCCTCCACCCTATCTAAGCCCTACTTTCTGTAAAGGGTCTTCAGGTATGAAAATGAGGCCCAACCTCAATTCAACCTCAACAAGAACCTCCCAAATCTCCCAGTCAAGGAGAATCATTACTTTCCTTGTACTTCTACAGTACCTTGAATACAATATATGGGATAGCCTATAAAACCTGGGTTGTAATCATTTACAGTTTATAATATGTTGTCTCGTAAATCTCATTTCATTTGAGCCTCACAAGTGTCCTTCCGAGACAAATTTTACAGACAGGAGAAACTGAAGGTTAGAAAACTGAAGTGATTGGTGAATGAAGGCACTTGAGCACATGTCTCCAGACTGTCTTTAGTGCTCTGCGCCCTCTGCCATGATGATTTTTATACAAATGATTGTCTACAACGTTCCTGATTAACTTTTATTTCCCCTACTGCTTTTCACATAGAAGGCTCAAGAAATATCTGCTAAATTAAACTGAAAATCAAAAGTCGGACAACTTAAAACTCTGGGAAGGTGGTGGTGAGGTGCTTAACATTTAAACTGTGCATTATATGCTGCATTAATTAATTAATACACACATCTTATATTTATGAAGCTCTGGCCCCTAAGAGAGGCAGGACACATCACAAAATAACTATATTCCACGTGAGCTGATGTGCTCAGAGGCCATAAAATGCCCTTCTGTGCAGACAGGCAGTCAATTCCTGAGGTCATAGGTATGTTGCAAAGACCTCAGACTTTTAAGTCAAATAGACTTGGATTCAAATCCACACTCTGCCTCTTTGAGTCAGGGCAAATTACTTGATTTCTCAAGTCTTAATATCTCTATCATGAAAAATGAGATAACCATACCTGTCTCACAGAATTATTCTGAGAATTAAAAGAACAAAGAGTAGTACATTGTTGGTGCACAAAAAAATATGCCCTTGTCTTTCTGTGGTAGACAGAATTCTAAGATGGCTCCACCTGTCCTCTGTGTATAATCCACTCCACTTGAGCATGAGTGGGACTTTGAATATGATGGAATAGTCACTCCCTAGATTAGGTTATGCTATATAACAGCGGACCCTAACCCCATGCCCATGGCCTGTTAGGCACCCAGTGGCACAGCAGGATGTGAGCGGCAGGTGAGCTAAGAAAGCTCCATCTGTATTTGCAGCCGCTCCCGAGCACTAGTATCACTGCCTCAGCTCCACCTCAGATCATCAGGCATTAGATCCTTATAGGTGCACCAGTCCCTGGTACCAGAAAGGTTGGGGACCACTGCATTCCTCCTTAGCAGGAGAAGGAGAACCACCTGTTGGTCTTGAGGAAGCAACTGCCATACTGTGAACTGCCTATGGAGATGGCCACGTCGTAGGATCCTGAGGGCAGCCCAGAGCACAGGAGAGGGGTCTTGGCTGGCAGCCCGCAGAAAATGAAGCCTCAGTCCTACAACCTCAAGGAACTGAATTCTGACAAGAATCTGAGTAACTCTGGAAGAGAACCACAGATGCAGTGACTACAGCCTTATGAAGCCCTGAGCAGAGAACCCAGCTAAGCCAAGGCAAGATTCCTGACCCACAAAAACATAATAAGCATATATTGTTTTAACCAATAAGTGTATTATGATTTGTTATGCAACATGAGAAAACTAACATACCTTACCTAAATAAAATGAGCTGAGTGGTCTGTAGGATTTTTTAAATTCCTAAAGATATCAAATCATTTTAGAAATACTCTGATCACCCACCCGATTCTCAGGAATGGTACCCTTTAGATCACCAAACACTGGAGCATCCCG